TTTTTTTTTTGTTCTTTTAGGGGTCATTTTGGGACATTTATGGGCCTTTTTTAGGGCATTTTTTTGAGTATTTTGAACATTTTTGAGGCATTTTTGGGGCATTTTTGAGCCCTTTTTTGGACCCTTTTTGGACTTTTTTTAGGGGTTTTTTTTTGTTCTTTTTGGGGTCATTTTTGGGCCATTTTTGGGCCTTTTTTAGGGCATTTTTGGTCCTTTTTTGAGGCATTTTTTAACATTTTAGGGGCACTTTGGAGGCATTTTTTGAGCTTTTTTTGGACACTTTTTGGGCTTTTTTTAGGGCATTTTTTGTTCTTTTTGGGGTCATTTTTTGGACATTTTTGGGCCTTTTTTAGGGCATTTTTGAGGCATTTTTGGGGCATTTTTGACCCCTTTTTTGAACCTTTTTGGGCTTTTTTTAAGGGTTTTTTTTGTTCTTTTTGGGGTCATTTTTGGGCCATTTTTGGACCTTTTTAGGGCATTTTTAGGGCATTTTTGGGGCATTTTTGAGCCCTTTTTTGGACTCTTTTTTGAACCCTTTTTGAGCTTTTTTTTTGGGGTTTATGTTTGGTTTTTTGGGGTCATTTTTGGGACATTTTTGGGCCTTTTTAGGGCCTTTTTAGGGCATTTTTTCGAGTCTTTTGAACATTTTTGGGGTATTTTTTGAGGCATTTTTGGCTTATTTTTTGAGCCTTTTTTGGACTCTTTTGGGCTTTTTTTAAGGCCTTTTTTTGTTCTTTTTGGGGTCATTTTTTTGGCATTTTCTGCCCTTTTTTGTGCTTTTCTGGCCTTTTTTGGCCCTTTTTGGGTCTTTTTAATGTTTTTTTTTTTGTTGTTCTTTTAGGGGTCATTTTTGGGGCATTTTCTGCCCTTTTTTGAGGCTTTTTTTCAAGCGTTTTTGACATTTTGGGGCCATTTTTTGATGAATTTTTTTGGCATTTTTTGGCCCTTTTTGGGCTTTTTTAATGGGGTTTTTTTGGTTCTTTTTGGGGTCATTTTTGGGGCATTTTCTGCCCTTTTTTGTGCTTTTTTGGACTTTTTTTGAGGCATTTTTTCAAGCGTTTTTGACATTTTGGGGGCATTTTTAAATGAATTTTTTGGGCATTTTTTGGCCCTTTTTGGGCTTTTTTAATGGGGTTTTTTAGGTTCTTTTTGGGGTCATTTTTGGGGCATTTTCTGCCCTTTTTTGTGCTTTTTGGCCTTTTTTTGAGGCATTTTTAGGGCATTTTTTCGAGTGTTTTTGACATTTTGGGGCCATTTTTTGATGAAGTTTTTGGCATTTTTTGGCCCTTTTTGGGCCTTTAATGGGGTTTTTTTGGTTCTTTTTAGGGCATTTTTAGGGCATTTTTAGGGTATTTTTTGAGCCTTTTTTGGACCTTTTTGGGCTTTTTTAGGGGTTTTTTTTGGTTCTTTTTGGGGTCATTTTTGGAATATTTTTGGGCCTTTTTTAGGGGATTTTTAGGGCATTTTTAGGGCATTTTTGGGGCATTTTTGAGGCATTTTTAGGGCATTTTTGAGGCATTTTTTGAGCCCTTTTTGGACCCTTTTTGAGCTTTTTTAGGACTTTTTTTGTACTTTTTGGGGTCATTTTTGGGGTCACTTTTGGGACATTTTTGAGGCATTTTTTGAGCTTTTTTGGATCTTTTGGGGCTTCTTTAGGGCTTTTTTTTTGTTCTTTTTGGGGTCATTTTTGGGCCTTTTTTAGGGCATTTTTAGGGCATTTTTGGGCATTTTTGGGGCATTTTTGAGCCCTTTTTTTGGACCCTTTTTGGGCTTTTTTAGGGTTTTTTTTCTTTTTTGGGGTCATTTTTGGGCCATTTTTGGGCTCTTTTTAGGGCATTTTTAGGGCATTTTTTTGAGTCTCTTGAACATTTTTGGGGCATTTTTTGATGGATTTTTGGGGCATTTTTGAGCTTTTTTTGGACTCTTTAGGGCTTTTTTTAGGGCTTTTTTTGTTCTTTCTGGGGTCATTTTTGGGACATTTTTGGGCCTCTTTTAGGGCATTTTTGGGGCATTTTTGAGCTTTTTTTGGAGACTTTTTGGGCTTTTTTTAGGGTTTTTTTTGTTCTTTTTGGGGTCATTTTTGGGACATTTTGGGGCCTTTTTAGGGCATTTTTGAGGCAATTTTGGGGCTTTTTTGAGCCCTTTTTTGGGGTTTTTTTTGTTCTTTTTGGGGTCATTTTTGGGGTTTTTTTAGGGCATTTTTAGGGCATTTTTGGAGCCTTTTTGGGCTTTTTTTAGGGCTTTTTTTGTTCTTTTTGGGGTCATTTTTGGGACATTTTTGGACCTTTTTTAGGGCATTTTTAGGGCATTTTTTCGAGTCTTTTGAACATTTTTGGGGCATGTTTAGGGCGTTTTTGGGGCTTTTTTGAGCCCTTTTTTGAGCCCTTTTTGGGCTTTTTTTAGGGTTTTTTGGTTCTTTTTGGGGTCATTTTTGGGGTTTTTTTAGGGCATTTTTAGGGCATTTTTGAGGCATTTTTGTTGCATTTTTGAGCCCTTTTTTGGACACTTTTTGGGCTTTTTTTAGGGTTTTTTTTTGTTCTTTTAGGGGTCATTTTTGGGACATTTATGGGGCATTTTTGGAGCCTTTTTGGGGCTTTTTTTAGGGGTTTTTTTTGTTCTTTTTGGGGTCATTTTTGGGACATTTTTGGGCCTTTTTAGGGCATTTTTTGAGGGTTATTTGAACCCTTTTTGGGCTTTATTTAGGGATTTTTTTTTGTTCTTTTTGGGGTCATTTTTGGGGCATTTTTGGGCATTTTTTGGGCTTTTTTTTGAGTCTCGAACATTTTTTGAGGCATTTTTTGAGGCATTTTTTGAGGCATTTTTTGAGCTTTTTTTGGACCCTTTTGGGCTTTTTTAGGGTATTTTTTCTTCTTTTTGGGGTCATTTTAAGACATTTTTGGGCCTTTTTAGGGCATTTTTGAGGCAATTTTGGGGCTTTTTTTGAGGCATTTTTGGACCCTTTTTGGGCTTTTTTAGGGATTTTTTTTTGTTCTTTTTGGGGTCATTTTTGGGACATTTTTGGGCCTTTTTAGGGCATTTTTGGGGCATTTTTGGGGCATTTTTGAGCCCTTTTTTGGACCCTTTTGGGCTTTTTTTAGGGGTTTTTTTGTTCTTTTTGGGGTCATTTTTGGGATATTTTGGGCTCTTTTTAGGGCATTTTTAGGGCATTTTTAGGGTATTTTTTGAGCCCTTTTTTGGACTCTTTTTTGAACCCTTTTGGAGCTTTTTTTGGGGTTTATGTTTGGTTTTTTGGGGTCATTTTTTGGACATTTTTGGACCTTTTTTAGGGCATTTTTAGGGCATTTTTTTGGAGTCTTTTGAACATTTTTGGGGCATTTTTTGAGGCATTTTTGAGGCATTTTTGAGCCCTTTTTTGAACCCTTTTTGGGCTTTTTTAGGGGCTTTTTTTGTTCTTTTTGGGGTCATTTTTGGGCCATTTTTGGGCCTTTTTAGGGCATTTTTAGGGCATTTTTGAACATTTTTTGAGGCATTTTTGGGGCATTTTTAGGGCTTTTTTTGGACCCTTTTGGGCTTTTTTTAGGGTTTTTTTTGTTCTTTTTGGGGTCATTTTGGGACATTTTGGGGCATTTTGAGGGCATTTTTGGGGCATTTTTGAGCTTTTTTTGGACCCTTCTTGGTCTTTTTTTAGGGTTTTTTTTTTTTATTCTTTTAGGGGTCATTTTTGGGACATTTATGGGCCTTTTTTAGGGCATTTTTTTGAGTATTTTGAACATTTTTGAGGCATTTTTGGGGCTTTTTTGAGCCCTTTTTGGACACTTTTGGGACGTTTTTAAGGGTTTTTCTTGTTCTTTTTGGGGTCATTTTTGGGACATTTTTGGGACATTTTGGAGGCATTTTTAGGGCATTTTTGGAGCCTTTTTGAGCTTTTTTTAGGGGTTTTTTGTTCTTTTTGGGGTCATTTTTGGGACATTTTTGGGCCTTTTTTAGGGCATTTTAAGGGCATTTTTTGGGCCTTTTTAGGACATTTTTGAGGCATTTTTTGGGCTTTTTTGAGGCATTTTTTGGACATTTTTGGGCCTTTTTTAGGGCATTTTTAGGGCATTTTTTTAGAGTATTTTGAACATTTTTAGGGCATTTTTGGGCTTTTTTTGGACACTTTTGGAGCTTTTTTTAGGGGTTTTTTGGTTCTTTTTGGGGTCATTTTTGGGACAATTTTGGGGCCTTTTTTAGGGCCTTTTTAGGGCATTTTTTTAGAGTCTTTTGAACATTTTTGGGGCTTTTTTTAGGGCATTTTTAGGGCACTTTTGAGGCATTTTTTGAGCTTTTTTTGGACCCTTTTTGGGCTTTTTTTAGGGCTTTTTTTGTTCTTTTTGGGGTCATTTTTGGGACATTTATGGGCCTTTTTTAGGGCATTTTTTTGAGTATTTTGAACATTTTTGAGGCATTTTTGGGGCATTTTGGAGCCCTTTTTGGACACTTTTGGGGCTTTTTTTAGGGATTTTTTTTGGTTCTTTTTGGGGTCATTTTTGGGACATTTTTGGGCCATTTTTAGGGGATTTTTGAGGCATTTTTGGGGCTTTTTTTAGGGTTTTTTTGGTTCTTTTTTGGGTCATTTTTGGGACATTTTTGGGCCTTTTTAGGGCGTTTTTAGGGCATTTTTGGGGCATTTTTGAGCCGTTTTTTGGACACTTTTTGGGCCTTTTTAATGGGGTTTTTTTTTGTTCTTTTTGGGGCCATTTTTCGGAGCATTTTTGCCCTAAAAATTACGCTTAAAACCCCAAAAATGCCTTCTCCCTCAGGACCCACCTGTCAATCATTCCGATGCTCCGCCCTTTTCTTGGCGCAGCCAATCAGAACCAACCACGCGCGGGGCGCGGCTTCCGAATGATTGACAGCCCGCCCCTCCCTAATCAACCAATGAAACCTCTCAAACAGCGGGGCGTGCCCTGTCAATCACCTCTAAACCCCACCCCCTCCCCTCTTTAACCAATCACGTTTCTCCTTCCCCCTCTCCGCTTCCGCCGCCATGGCCGCGCCGCGCTGAGCCCCGGCCCCGCCGCTCAGCCCCGGCCATGGCGGCTCCGCTCTCGTAGCCGTGGCCGCCATGCCCAGCGGAGCCGCCGATGCCAACGAAACGGCCGAGCCGGCGCTGCTCCTCCTCCAGCAGCGCCTGCAAGGCCTCGGCTTCTCCCAATCAGCCGCGGAGGAAGAGGAGGAAGAGGAAGATGATGATGATGATGGCGGCGAGGCGGAGCTGAGGGAGGATGAAGACGACGAAGCCGCCTCGTTGTTGTTGCCGCGCGCTTTGGATGTTACGGGAGGCCGGGGGATGATGGCGGCCATGCTGGCGCAGGCCTACGGTGATGGCGGAGCTGTGGGAGGAGAACAGGCGGCGCTGCTGAGGAGGAGAAGCGTCAACACCACCGAGTGCGTGGCCGTGCCCAGCTCCGAGCATGTGGCCGAGATCGTGGGGCGCCAGGGTGAGTGTGAGGGGCCGGCAATGGCGGCGCTGAGGGGGAAAGAGGAACGGATTCAACCCTTCCCGCCATTTTGGGGACCCCCTCAGCACTTCCTGTGTCCCCTCCCCTCCTCTTCCTCTTCCTCCTGCCACACAAACTTTGGGGACTCTTCTGTCCCCTCGCAGCCGTGATGGGACCTTCAGCTTCACCTCACGAGGGTCCTGACCGCTTCTCCTCTTGCCGCCATTTTGGGGACCCTCCTGTCCCCTCATAACTGGGCTGGGACCCTCCTGATCTTCACCCCCTGAGGGTCCTGACCTGTTTCAACCCTTGCCGCCATTTTGGGGACCCTCCTGTCCCCTCACAGCCCAGGGTGGGATCTTCATCTTCAGCTCCTCTTCCTCTGTCCCCTCATCTTCATCCCCTGAGGGCTGGAACCCCCTTCATCCCTTCCCGCCATTTTGGGGACCCCCTCAGCACTTCCTGTGTCCCCTCCCCTCCTCTTCCTCTTCCTCCTGCCACACAAAATTTGGGGACTCTCCTGTCCCCTCACAGCCGTGATGGGACCTTCATCTTCACCTCACGAGGGTCCTGATTGCTTCTCCTCTTGCCGCCATTTTGGGGACCCTCCTGTCCCCTCATAACTGGGCTGGGACCCTCCTGATCTTCACCCCCTGAGGGTCCTGACCTGTTTCAACCCTTGCCGCCATTTTGGGGACCCCCTCACCACTTCCTGTGTCCCCTCCCAGTGAGGGACCCTCCTCTTCCTCTTCCTCCTGCCACACAAACTTTGGGGACCCTCCTGTCCCCTCATACCCGTGATGGGACCTTCATCTTCACCTCCTGAGGGTCCTGACCGCTTCTCCTCTTGCCGCCATTTTGGGGACCCTCCTGTCCCCTCATAACTGGGGTGGGACCTTCATCTTCACCCCCTGAGGGTCCTGACCTGTTTCAACCCTTGCCGCCATTTTGGGGACCCTCCTGTCCCCTCATAACCGGGGTGGGACCCTCCTGATCTTCACCCCTTGAGGGTCCTGACCTGTTTCAACCCTTTTGGCCATTTTGGGGACCCTCCTGTCCCCTCACAGCCCAGGGTGGGATCTTCATCTTCAGCTCCTCCTCCTCTGTCCCCTCATCTTCATCCCCTGAGGGCTGGGACCCCCTTCATCCCTTCCCGCCATTTTGGGGACCCCCTCACCACTTCCTGTGTCCCCTCCCAGTGAGGGACCCTCCTCTTCCTCTTCCTCCTGACATGGGGACTTTTGCCCCATTTTGGGGACCCTCCTGTCCCCTCACACCTGAGGTGGGACCTTCATCTTCACCTCCTTTTCTGTTCCCTCATCTTCACCCCCTGAGGGTCCTGACCCCCTTCTCCTCTTTGTGCCATTTTGGGGACCCTCCTAGTTAGAGAAGAGAGGGAGGTGAGAACATGTGAGGAAAAACAACTTGGAGACACCAAGAGCAGTTGAAGAGGGGTTGGAGGAGGTGCTCCAGGTGCCAAAACTGAGATCTCTCTGCAGGCCATGGTGAAGCCCATGGTGAAGCAGGTTGTGTCCTCCTGAGGGATGCAGAGATCTGCCCGTGGGGGAGCTGCCCATGCCAGAGCAGGATGCACTGGAAGACCTGGTGGAGAGAGAGGGCCTCTGTCACAGACATCTTTTATGAAAAATCCTTTCCTTAGGATTTTTCCTCCTGAGAAGCTGAGAGGCCTCAGGAACAAAATATATACTATATATTTTATAATTATGTAATTATAATATACAATTATATATATTATAACTATATTATTATATTCTATAATTATATAACAATACAATTATAGTATATAATATATAATAAAATATAATTATGTTATAGTATAATTATTATATTATAATTACAATACATAATTATAATATTAAACATCATTATTTTAATTATAATAAGTATTTATAATATTAATTAATTATTATACTTAATAATAGTGATTATGAAATAATTGCTATTTAGTCATAGTAATTATTTAATAATTGCTATTTAGTAATAGTAATTATTTAATAATTACTATTATTAATTAGTAATGAATACACATTCATTACAATAGCAATAAATGTGTATTTCTTACTATTATCACAGTAATAAATGCAAGTTTATTACTGTGTGATAAACTTGTATCACACAGTACAACAACAAAACAAACCTGATCTCTCTCCCTGCTCTGAAAAAGAGCACTGCTGTAGACACATCATGCATATACAGGAGGATATACAGGATTAAGTACCACAACCATGGACAGCAGCAATATTAATAACAACAGCATGTTAAAAAATAAATAAAAGGTGCTTTACATCAGCAGGTGTTCATTGTTGCAGACACATTTTCTGAAAAATCCTTTCCTTAGCATTTTTTTCCTCCTGAGAAGCTGAGAGGCCTCAGGAACAAAATGTAACCGATGGTTACCTGCTGCTGTGGAATGCAACAGGTGCACCTGTGATTGGGCTCATGCTGTTTTTTCTAATTAATTTCTAATTCTCTCTGGTCAGTCACAAGATTTTATTATCATTCCTTCCTATTCCTTTCAAGCCGTCTGATGAAATCCTTTCTTCTTTTAGTGTAGTTTTAATATATAATTTTCTTTTAACATATAATTTTCTTTTAATATAATATATATCATAAAATAATCCATCAGCCTTCTGAAACATGGAGTCAGATCCTCATCTCTTCCCTTGTCCTGGGACCCCTGTGAACACGGTCACAGCAACCCCCTCCAATGAAGAGGGAGGCAAACGATGCCATTTCCAGGGCTTTGCTCAACTTTTCTTCTCCCCAAAGCTACACTCCCCAGCAATGATGATGTAGGTGATGCCCACATGGTTATAAACTCCACTTCCTCTCTGTAACCAGGACAAAAAAATGCTTTTTAAAGCAAAACCACAAGATAGAGAAAGCTATAGCAAAGGAAACAAAGCCGGCTAATTTTTTTTTCTAAAACTTCAACTTAAAAGAGTATGTTAAACATCCAGTACTCACTGTAGTAGCAGATACACAAGTCATTTCACCAAATAAGTAAAAAAATTATTTCCATGCATATTTATAACACATGTTCTTTCCAATTGCCTTTTGGGAAATATTTCCCATTTGCTTTTTGATAAGGGGTTCTACTCAGTCTAAATAAGAAGAAATACAACTGAATTTGGCACCAACTCCAAGGGTATATCCTAGGAAGACTAACATGACTAGATGGGTTCACAAAGCTAGCAGTTGACTTCAGAATGTCAACATTGATGAAATATGAGTTGCCTCAAACTACAAAATGAAATTATATAAAAGATTTAGAAGAATGGAGAAAGAGACAAGGATTGCTGAGAGATTTGACATGTTAAATATTTTCAAAAAATATACCAAGCACTGCACATCCTCCTGGAGAAGCATGGGTTAAACCAGAAATATATTCATGTAGTCTTGAAGAACACGGCAAATTCCAGGATAGTTTTTGCTTGGAAAAGTTGAAAAGAAGCTTACCTGGACCAAAGATCTTGAAAGAATGTGATTTCCAAAACACTGTTTGGTTTTTCACATATCAACATGTACCATGTTTATTCTAGGAAAGAGTCCAGACTTCACATAGAAGGAAAAGGAAAAAGAAAAGCAAAACTCCCCACAAAAATAACCCTTCACAAACCACTTATCATGATTTCATGATTGTGATCTACAGAAAAAACCCAAAAAAGTCATTGATCATGTGCTCTTTAGTCAGAAAAAAAATGAAATACCAGATCTTGTATATGGTAAAAATGATATGTCCTAGTGTATACTAAACCAAACAAGCAATTAAATTGAAATGGATTTATTTTTCCTCTTTTTCCCCCCCGCAAAGGTAATCCTATGGGACAGCTCCCCATGAAATTTTAATTTCCCTTATGATACTTTTCAAATCAATTTTATTGCAGCCAAACATTGTTCATATACCTGTCCATAAAATAAATTGTGATATATACACAACACTAAGTTACAGAGCATAAGTTTACAACTTTAGGAAGATTCTGTTTAACAAAATAGAAATTGAGTAGCTTGAGTACTTGGAGAAAGTGAACTTCCTTCTTTTGGTACAAATGTTTTTTGCCTCCCTGTACTCAAAGTGGTTTAATAAACAAATGTTATTGTGGAACATCTCACTGGTTTCTCTTTTCTGATTCTAGACAGAATTGTTCATATGCTTCTTCAATTTCTGGATCCATCTTGTTATCAAGATCATGAAAATACCTAAAAAAAAACAAAAACAACCCCCCCCACCAAAACTGTTAACTTTATGGCCAGATTTTCAGAAACAGTAAATAGCTGAAATATTTTACATAAACATCAAGCTTATGGGGAAAACAAACAAATCCCAAAGCAGCATAGATATGTACAAATTCCTACAGTGTTTGTCACCATTTTAGATCATCTCAGGCTGTCCACAGGTTCAAAGACAGAAATATTTCCAAGATGATAGAAAAATGCAGTAAAAAAAATTTACTAACAAAAACAATGATCCAGACCAGTGCTCTTATCACACAAACACAACACTGAAAATGCTTTTGAGTATCAAATCATGATCTGAAAGTCCTCCTTCAACCAGTACAGAACTCAGAGCAATTTCTTTTAGACTTTCTTTCACAGATTTCCTATCAAATTCTTAGAAACTGGTGTCAGAAGGTGAGACTATATTTCCATCTACTGCTTCCCCTTTGGCCATGAATTGAGGGAATACTCAAAATCCCAAAGAGAAAACCTTACCAACCTTCTCCCTTTGAAAAATACTGAAAATTTTGTAATTATCTCTAGCTAGAATGAATTCAGGTTGTCTCACTACCAACACCTGAAGGTATGATGCATCATTTTGCTTGCAATTTTTTTTTCTAAAATGCACATGGGCAAAAATATATAAAGTTTAATTGGATAAATATAAAATGTTTCAAACTTCTGTGATTACAAACCAACTTCCACCTGAACAGACACATAATTTCCATTGTAGAACTAAATAAAAATGATTAATTTCATTTTTGACAAGATTGGATTTCCTAAATTTGCTGTAAAAAGATCTAGTGTAAAAAAACCCCAAAACCCACCCCACAACAGCTATCACTCAAAATGGAAACATACTGATCTTCAGCTCCTGATAAAGCCATGCTGTTTTCTTCATCATCTGGAAAGAAATCCTCTCTTTCAAGCAGTTCTTGGTATTTTTCTTGGTAATCTGAGATAGGAAAAAATGAGATCCAGTAATATATTAGTCCTCTAAATCAATGTACATGTCTACAGTTTGAAAACAAAGAAAGTTTTGCTACTAACAATAGACAAACAAAAGAGCTGTGGTGTGGCAGCATGTTGCTCCAGGGAGGCCACAGCCAGGGAAAACAGACAAGACAAGTGAAAATACATTCTCCCTGGTGTCTGCTGTGAGATGTGACCAGGAATAGAGCAAAGCAGGCTCCAGCTTTGAAAATAAAGAAAACCTTATTAACCTACAACTATATGTACACCAGATGCCAATATTCAAATCTGAGCACCTATTGGTTTGACAACAGCATCTCAAAAAACTCACTTCCTTTTCAAAGCAGGACAACAAATCTCTTCATTGTTTAGCATGAGAGTCCATTTTATCTTCACACCCTCCCCCAGGCCAGGGGTTTTATCAGATGTCCCATGGGACAAGTCTTAGGATCACATTCCAGCCTCCCCAGAACAGTATGAAAAATGCATGTATTTTATGATTGGCTTTTTTCAAATATTCAAATGAATATTATATGTGTTGTGTTAGAAAGTAATGCTGTATTCATTCTCTTAAGTACTGTGTTAAATATAGGTTATAAATTATAATATATAATATTATATAAAATATAATATATAAAAACATAAAATATAGGTTATAAAAATTGTTAAAATAGAAACGATGCTATGTAGGATACTTTTTTAAAAAGAAAGGACTCGCAGCGAGATAGCAGCCACAGGACACCTAAGTCTTTCAGAGAAGAAGAATTTATGGCCCTCTTATCAGAAGAAATGAACTTCTTCCAGCCTCGAAGGCGCTGTTAGGATTCGGAGGAAGAAGTTGACTGATGACCAGACAGAATCCTGTATTTGAATGGAATTTATGCATCATGTATGAAGTGTATGAATACGCAACAGGCTATTGCTTTTAAGGGTTAATCCTTTGTTAACAGGTGTCCTTTTTCGGGCGTGCTGCCCAGAAAAGGTACCTGGACGTCCGTAACTCTTTGTCTTTATTGTCTCATATTGTCCTAATTCAGTTTGTCCAAATTATTATTACTCTAATTGTATTACTATTAAACTTTTAAAGTTTTAAAAAAACAAGTGATTGGTGTTTTTCACAACAGGGAAGCGCCACACTGTGGAAACCAAGTGCTGAGGACTCTGGCACAAATTCTTCTGAACTATATGAACTCAACTGCACGTTCTCTGCTCATTTCAAACATTTACACAAAGCCAGGAGTTCAGCTCAAATTTTTGTCTGTGAAGTTGCATGAGTTTATAATATTTGAAGAACAACTTTTTTATGTACTTCAACAGGACATAATTGCAACTTTTGAAAGATTGAGAAAAACAGGGGACATACCCGGGTCTGCTGCAGTGAAAGGAACACCATCAGAAGTGTAAAATGTTGGTTCATTCTAGGAAGAAAGTTATACAATAAGTTAGATGAGTTCAGAGACAGATGTTTGTAGCTTTTAGCAATATGAATCAAATTATTCATATTTATGATCAAATTAATAAAATTTAGCCTATGAATCAAATTCCTATGAAACTAAGGAACTGAAATACCAGTACATTCTTACCATAAAATAGTTCGGGTCATTTTCAGGAGTAGCTTTTGTATGTGGAGAAGTGTCATGAACTCTACCCCAGTTACTTGATCGTAATTCCACTACTTTCAGAAGCATATGTTTCACATCTCTGAGAAAAAAACAAAAGCAGCACAAAAGTTCAAATGATTTGTGCAAAACAATCATTGGGCTAATGGTTGGCAAATGGGGGAGGGGAAGGACTTAAACCAGACAAACAGAAAACAAACAGAAAACAAACAGAAAACAAACAGACAACCATCTGTGAAGTGGAACATGAATCTCTAGTAAAAGATAAAAAACAGAACAAAACCAAAATGGAAAGAACCACTTCCCCCACAATTGCTACATGAAAGTGACCAACATATCACTTGACTTCTTGTAAATGAAAGTTTTGAAGGAAATCTTTTGGACATGGCCATTATTCTTGAAGATTTTGAAGATGTTTTGTTTCATATCAAAGCAAAATACTGCAAACAAATTTCTCTTCTCACCTGCTACAGTTTGCATCCAACACAACATTTTCAATTCTCTGAATCATTTCCTCCATATCATTCTTTCCTTTTTCTTTCCAGGCATCTTCTAAAACTGAGCCTGTCAACTAAAGACAAGGTATTAGGTTTTGTTGAGGATTTTTTTTGCTTAGTATTTTTTTCTCTTTTCAAGTGATTTAGAAAAGTTTAATAAACTGTCAACAGAAGAGTTTCTTTAACAATCCATAGCATTTAGATGCATGATGTGAGTACCTACTGAAGGTTCCAATCTTCAACATCTTTTTGTTGAACAGATTAATGACCACATATAAATAGTTTCTTTTAGACAGTATGGTAACTCTATGTCCAATCTTGCCTAGAATTTCACAGCCACTTCCCTCATTTCAGTCTCAAAATGGGATTTTGAAACAACTCTTCAGTGATTTCATTACACCGCCAAACAGTCACATGATAACAAAATGCATTTTTGAATATTGCAGTGATTTCTTGTAAAAAAGTGTTACATTTCCTCATCTTCCTGAGCTTGTGTATCAGTGAGACATGGAGATTGCATTGGCACATCAACACAAAAATTTTACAACATTCTGAATCCTGCTGAAAGGACTAACAGCATTTGGCAGCTCTTAATTGCTTTAATTGCAAAAAGAGACCATTTTTTTGCAGATGATACCACAGGCTTACCCGATAATAAAAAAAAGCTAGTAAGCTTTAGAAAGACTTCAGTCAACATACCTAGAATCAGATATGCCACAGATTTTCACCTGGGGATGTGGAAAGAGGAGCCAAAAATCATCTGAGCAAGCCAACGTGAGTTTTAATACATCAAATCTGTGAGACTGAAGCTGTTGCTGAGGGAGTGTTAGCAGCAGACAGTCTAGAACTGCTAGGGATGAAAACTTTTTCTGTCCTTAATTCATTGTCCAATAATTGTACAGCAGGAGATAAGAATTAAACTACAAAAAAATTCATTTTGCCACGATGGTCCAACTGAACAGCAGTTCCTAATCTACTCAGCATAAATATGACATGATCTAAAAATGCTTGGAAAGGTGTCTGATGATACAAAGGAATAAAATACAAAGATAAAAATGAGCACTTGTTTCACATTCCCAGTTTTCTACTGCATTGATCCTAGGTAATTCGATAACAACTCTATGAGGGTTTAATTAAAAAGAAGTATACTGCAAAGCAAATAGGTGAAAAACCACTGTATTAAATGGAAAGGACAACAGGAGACATCTATTGCTTGAATCCAATGTTTAATGAGGTAGCCCAGTCTAGCTACAGATACACTTCAACATTTGTAGATACTTGGAGTGTCCCTCTTCATTCAGGACTATGATGATATATTAAAAAAAAATGAAAAACCAACTTTTTTTTTCTTCTTTTAAAACTACTGTCTCACCTTCAGCAGTTTCACTGCACACATCAAATTATTATCCACAGGGTTAGAGAAGAGCACATTTAGTAATTCCCGAAGGCCTTCTTGAAGAATTTCTGCTCTTGTGACCTGTCCCTTTGTTCCCTTAATCTGCAAAATATATTTTCAAAAACCAAAACTACATTGAAAAGACTTTAGTTTTAGAAATTCATTTAGTCATATTTTCTCTCTTGGATGCTGAATGTCAAATACCATAACTATTTCTAGAATATAGAGTAGTATCTGCAATTCTGACATATTACATAACAATGCCTGCCTAGCATTGTTTTTCTTTGCTAATCAATTGCTAAGAAAAGCTGAAAGTGCCTGGCAAGTGATCCACATCATCCCAAATTCTCAGATTCCCATGCTCTTTTCCCATCCTACCTCGTGCATTCTCTGCAGCTGTAGAGTACCTTACTTCTAGAAGGCATTCTTAAGATATTTAAAAATTTTAAAAAAATGCTTTAAAAATAAATTGTACTCCAAGCTGGGCAACTTCCCCTTCCCAAATCCTTTGGAAAGCTTCCTTTTTACTTCTCTGAATAAAAATGGAAGTGTCAGAGTTTTCTTTCCTCATGCCAGCAGAACATTTTGGTAGTGTCTGCTTAAATCAAACCTTTGAATTAATTCAGTGAAAAATAGATTTTAAGGACACTACAGCAGTCAGTGAACTTACTGAACTCAAGGGTATAAGAGTCAAAGAACTTTTATGCATACATACATTTTTTTTGACATATCAGAAACAAAAAAAATGATCTAAATACAAAATTTCACATTTCATGCATAAGCCAAGGGCTCAGAAGGAATATCTTTCAAGGTCTGCATTCTTATTGTTTATTTTGAAGATTGCCATGCCCTCCTCAAGCATTTGATAATAGCTCCTATTAGTGGCTGAATATTGAATTACATGGGTTATTGATACCTCTGCTTCTGCCAGGTTGTAACATTTTGCTATGTTGTTTAAGTGTAGTAATCTGCTGGGTTTACCAGACGACAAAAAAAAAAAAAAAAAACAAAACCAAAAGGTTCATTCCAAAGGTAGTTTATGGCTGGTTCTTTTAATGCATTCTTACACCGTTTTTTTAATTTGTATTTATTTCTCTTCTGATGATCTTGTCCTTTTTTGTTTCTCTGTTTCTTGGACACACATTATAGTTAAACTGTTCTTAAGTTATTTTACTTTCTTCCCCTTTCCCTTTAACTAAAAAAACTCAAAAAAAATCACACCTTAAATGATATTCCATTTTAGTGTTTACTTAAACACACCAAAAATTCATGAATATGAATGACACACAACTTTCTTCTTACCTCTAGGTTAAGGTAAAGTTCAGCTAAGAACAACACAAAGGCATGAAATTGTTTTTGAGCAGTCTCATCTCCTCTGGCAGCTTCATCTCTGTTTTCATATTCTGTTTGGCACCTGAAAACATGAAAGCAAAAATCATATAATCTATAGACAACCCAAAAGATGCAACATGTAACTTATTTAATAGAGTGCTAAGAACTTATTCACTGCATTAGAACTATTAAATGCTGAATACTAGGAAGTTGGATTTGTGAAGGAAGTGAGAGGTCTTCACAAAGAATGCAGATTTTTGTTCTTCTAGGTGAGCACTGAGGTATCTGAGAAAGCAAAATGAAATAGAGGAAATTGCAAAAATGTAAAAATTGAAAGCCAGTTACACAGTTTATATATTAGAATATGGGTCCAGAAAGTTGAACATGGGCAGACAAACATCAACAGAAATAAAACTCTGAAAGACGTTTTTCCCCTTTCAGGGTGCGGCCCACATTGTCTTAGATGCCTTGACATTTATTTGATAAATTCTTTATCCTACCATTTTAAGTGACAGAAGTAAAATTTAGATATAAATGCAAACAGTGAGGATTAAGAGAACATCACAGTGAGGTAATTTTTTTAAAGTTTATCATGCATTTGCTCCTAAACATAGGTGGACTAAGTGAAACTTTTAAAGTAAGAATCAAGTCTGAAGCTTAGGAAGACAAAAGTCCTTAAAGAAAAAGACTAACTTCTAAAGAATTCTGAAGTATTAAAGTCTACTATTCCTTCAAATGAGATTTAAAAGGAAACACGTCCATTTTAAAAATGTTGCATTTTTGTCAACTAGGTCTAAGCATTATTAAACCTTAATCCCCCAAATCCTGTAGTAACTGAAAATGGAAGAAATTAATCCTTTGTGATTTCATGCATCATAGGTGTAAAGTTGGTGAGCATACCAACAAACTTTTCACAGCAACTCCAGCCAGAAAAGTCATTAAAGAAAAAATACAAAGAAATAAGCCCTGGCAAAAGTCAAAGGACAAAACCAGTACATATTTAGTATAAATTTAAAGTTGACTACTTTTTGAATTTACCCTATAACTTGGTAGCAGTACAATTATTCTCAACTGAAAGGAGCCTCCAGAACTTGGAATCCTATTTTCATATTAAAAAGATATGTGTTAGGTAGCTATGCTTTAATAATCCTCCATCTAAATTTCTGGTTTAAATATGTTAACAGTTACATACAGAAAAGGAAGACAACCTGAGAAAGTGACAAATTGAAAATGACACACACTGATAC